TCATTGGCTGCTGTGACGCTGTGTGGCAGCGTGTTAGCCTCAGATGCTAACAACAACATAGGTTTAACCCGCACATTTAAAGCTGCAGTTTAAACAAGCCTCAAGACACACAGTTTGTCCGAATGCTCGTTTTTAAACCTTTTTACAGTGACTTAAGAAAGAGCCATGTGACGAAAAGAACAGACGCAAAAACTAAATTTCACATTAACAGGAGCTAGCTGGAACAGTCCCGGTGTGTACCCACTTTTGTCGTCCGACTCGAAACAATATCTCGACAGCCCCAAGTATCCGTTTGAGACGTACTTTTAAGAAGTAGCAGTTTTAAAAGGAAATTAAGAAAATATAGGATTTTTTTCATACACCTTTATCCAACTACAATGCATTACTTAAATCCGTAAAGACTAGTCTTTTTTAAAAAGAAAGAAAGAAAGAAAGAAAGAAAGAAAGAAAGAAAGAAAGGAATTAGTTTATTTTTTCTTTTTTTCTTTATTTCTTAAAAACGACTTGCTGGAAACAGGCACAAAGTTAGACCAAACTTGATTCTACTGTGCCAGTGTCACTACCATGTGAAAAAAAGTATACAGAATTTATGCGGCAGTTTAAGTTGAGAAACTGAACACGTTGTGAGAAAAGCAGTTTTATTAGTATATTAAGACGATGATGGTTTTAAACTGTGCTTCAATAACACAAATCTGTAGAGCTGCAACTATTCCTCAGTTATTTGTCAACTAATAAAAAACCTGCCGACTGTTTTGTTGTATGCTATTTTATCAATACATTTAAGTTATTGAGTGTTACCAGGTGGAAACCTAATTTTAAGTAAAAGCTGTTTGTACTTCAGCAGCAATTTTTTACTTCACACATCGGTTGATACTTAGCCAAACACTGCACATGGACTTGGCCTGATATAAATTTTGATAGCATTTCCTAGGAGCTCCTTCGATGTTGCGCTTTTATTTTTGATTGTGTTCAGCAATCCCAGATCACATAACATCAAGTTGTGCTAGGAGATGCATATTTTAGTGATGCTAACATTACCAGATTAGCTAGCGTACAATTCTAGCCCTTCGTTAGTCTAAGTCCATTGCAGCCAGTCCTAATATGAATGATTATATCTCCATTATTAGCAAGCTAAAGCTATTACACGCTTAGTAAATCTTGCAAAATATAGCAAATTGTCTTGATGAGACTACATACGGAGTTATCTCAACAAGCTAACGTTAAGCTAGTCATGCTAATTTGCTAAAGCTACGTCTTTTAGTTCAACAGCGATGAACTCACTGGCTGGACTTAACTAGTCTTTTAAACTTCAAAACCTCGTGTAAAACGACTCAAACGCTAAACATGCCACTCGCATTTTTAATTACGCCTGAACAAGATATAAAAGGATAATAAATATGATTTACTTACCAACTGTAAGGTCAACAAGGTTAAATACACTTTACGTAAGTGGCGCGGCTGTGCGCATGCCTAATTAGGACAGGAAGAGAGAGCTTCTAAGTCGTTTCAAAGTTATCATAATTTTATGAAGCTCAGGATATATTTTATTTTAAATTTTTTGAAAGTGTGTCTGATTTTTTCTGATTGTTCAATATTTGATGGCATTTTCAAAGCAGAAGAATTGAAGACGCAGTTTGGTGCAAATGCAAGCAGTGAGAATTCATAAAAGCTTTTCCACTTGTAATATTTAATGCTAATGTGAAACATGCAAAAATAAGTTAGCAGTTTTTATAGAGCACATAATGCTTTTAGCACATTTATTTCTTGTTTCCAAACACTATGAATGACGTTGAAAAGAGCTTTGATATGTAATTTTATTTCGATTTATTAAATCAGCGCAAAGTGCTTAGTAGAAGGTATAATGAAACCTGACAGCTGTAACTAACAAAGATATATTTTAGATATGCAAGTTACAAACCTGCAGACATAGTGCCAAACCCTGTGAATGGAGCCTAAAATAAACAACATAAATCTTAGTGCACAGTTGATAATTACAATTAAAGAATTATAAATAAAAACTTAAAACGCAGTGATACCGTTGTTAAATATTGACATATACACTCCTGGCCTACACCGCCCTCTTCTGGCGTATTAGAGCAACTGTCCCACTGCCTGGGCTCCACATTTGGTTTTGTAAATATTTTAAACGTCCCGTAAACGGTGCAGAAATATGAAATAATCTGTGTGTGATCACCTGAACCGAAAAGAGTCCGGATAATTGAATAACATAAAATAATTCCCCTTTTTTTCTCCGCCCCTCTTCGCTTTGTTTACTCTGACGTCATCTACATGCGCCGCTCACATGTTTAGAACCTGGAAGCGACTCTCTCCTCAACTCATGTATGTCTTCTTCACATCCTCCTTCTGCATTTAAACTAGTCATATTTTACATTTAATGTGTCATTGAGGGGATTTAAGGAAATAGCTAGAGTTGTGACGACAGCACGAATGTGAGTTTTGGCTTTGAAATGTCTCCACAAATAGGAAAAGGTTTGCCTTGTTGAGCCCACAGCAACTTCAAATTGTATGTCAACAAACAAACTAGAGGACTGTATGGACATGTAATGAGAACATAATTAGTTTTTCTTCGCCAGGTGACTTCTATGCAGAAGAGCAACAGACTGACATGGCACAAAGTCCGTCAGAAATGTGTGAAATGCAGCTGAATGGAGCTTCAGAGCTGATGGATCTGCTTCACATAGACGTGGAGGCTGATGTAGTGGACGACAGGCCAGGAAGAGAAGACGCACTGTATTCAGTAAGTTTTATTCCCCAGCCTTCATTCTGAATAAAGACTGCTTTCAAGTGGAGCTGAATGATTTGGGGAATTCAATTTGATTTGTAATATGATTTAAATATTCACTCTTTGAGATTTAAAACTCCTCTTCTATCATTGATTAAACCCTTCAAAACACTCACTTCTGTGTATCAGAATTACACATTTAGAAGTTTTTCCACATCCATATCCTATATATGTCTTCTAGCATGTAGAAAACACCATAAAGACTGATGCCTACACATTTTTGATTGTTAGATTTATGTGCTGATTGTCTCAAAGTAGGTAAGTAGTTGATTTTATTTCCATTTCAGGTCACTTTGCTTGATAAATTATGTCACTTTCAATAATATCAGACATATTTATGACCCTTGTTTGTAAAACCTCCATCAAGCCTTTCAACAAAGACTACAAATCTACTGTCAACAAAGTATTGACACATATGTTTTCCTAAAGTTAACAAAAAAATGCAGTTTATAATTTAAAAACAAACCATATGATTAAATGGTTTGTAATTATTTAATTTGCTCCTTTTGCGTCCTATTTATTAATACTGTGTTTTAACATTCTGCAGATGTGTGATTTTCTGCACTGCTAATAGTTTTTATCTGTTCAATGAACAGAGGAATGTACTGAGGAAGCAGCGACACTGGGAGAAGCAGCTGGCTGCAAAGAAGAGCAAGAGGAAAGAAGAGAAGCAGAGGAGGAAGCTAAATCGTGAGCAAGAGTCAGGTAGAGATCAAGCGAGGAAAATCAAACAGTGGAACAAATGTTTTTGTTTTAGGAAGACTGAAGGTGAAAGTTAGCAGCATCTATAATGGGATTTTATTTTTCAAATAGGTGCCAGCACAGAGCCTCAGTTTACCAAACGAGTCATGAAGGCGATCACCAAAGAGCGTTTAGCCGAGGCTCAGTCCACAGGGCTCAAACTCTGTGTTGATCTGAGTATGACGGACTGCATGTCTGACAAGGTAGGTGGTGGACAAACAACCCTCAAAACATCACTGAGTCCTTCTTTAAGAAAGAGGCCTTTCTGTTTAGTTTTTTATTCTGAGACATTCATTAAAACTGCTTATATAGCATTTATTCACCTGCCTCCATCTGTTTTTCTGGTTTAGGAGATAAGCCGACTGGCCGGCCAGTTAAGACGGTTGTACGGGTCAAATAAGAAGGCCGCTCGACCATTTCATTTGTTTCTGACAGACCTGAAAGAGGACAGCCGCCTCTACAGAGAGTGTGTACGAATGAATGAGGGCTTCCTCAACTACATGGTGATTATCGTTGTTTACATCCTGGATTCACTCGTAAATGTTTCTGAAAGTAAATATAAAGCAGAAAATCTCTTGTAGTTGATGTGCAGACAAGTGTTTTTAGTGTATTTTTATCCTAAAACTAATTACATAACATGCACATCAGCTGTAGTCTCCAGCTAAAACAACTGATCCTGGCAATAAGGACATAGAGGAGTTTTGTTAAGTCATTTTTGTTATTCAAAAGCTTTTAAGTCATCATCATTCATTAGTTACAGGATACTCACAGTTTATTTCAATCTCTGCACTGTCATCCGAACCAGAAATAGCCTGAACATTCATCAGCATACTCTGATTATGTTCTGTTTTCTTTCTTTATGTCCGTTTCTTACAGATGGACATAACAGAGGAAAGCTGTCTGGACATGTTTCCTGCAGAAACTGTCATCTACCTCACTCCGGATGCTGAACAAGGTTAGATGAATTTGAATTCACTGCATGAGTGAAAAGAACAGCTTCTGAACTCTTCAGTTTTGGAGATATGTCGGGATTTTTCTTGTTTACTTTTTGCTGTTTGGGTGCATCTTTCATCCAGCAGAGGGTGCTATCTAACCATAGCATTTCTATTGTAGAGTACTTTGCGGAATAACATTTTCAAAATGCCTTACACACAATTAAACAAAAAGAAAATGAAAAAAGCCTCAATTAAATCATAAAATATATTTAGTAGGTTTATAGAGGAACGCTACACAACGTTACACGTACTCTGTGATATGATACTTTAAGGTTTTATTAATCCCACAACATTTTGATAATTCACAGCCATGAATGTGTTGGTAATTATCTGAGTTTTCTCCTCTTCTCTTCAGCTTTGGAGACAGTTGATGCTGACAAAGTGTATGTCCTCGGTGGTCTTGTGGATGAAAGCATCCAGAAGGTATTCTGCACTAAAACTGATTGCAGCTGGATAACGCAGACATCAAATCATGTCAGCAAGTTCAATCTGATGTGATTAATTAGATGTTACTCTGCTTTTCTTAATCAGTCTGCAGTTCCCCTGTATTTCTGTTAAGCTTAAATTAGATAAAGTAGCTCTTATTTTTGTGCAAATAGCGCAGATTGCATCAGTTCTGTATTATTTGTCATAAACAGCAGGTATACGAATGGTTGGGTTGATTTTTCTTTAGCTGTTTCTTGCTGTTTGTCCCCCTGCAGAAGTTGAGTTTCTCTAGAGCCAGACAGCTGAGCGTCCACACGGCGAGGCTGCCCATAGACGAGTACATGGTGAAGAAAACCAACGTGAAGAATTTCCACTCAAAGATCCTGGCAGTCAATCAAGGCAAGCAAGCGACAATTTTCATCCATAGGCAGCTGAAGGTCTTGTTGTAATAAATGTCTCTCCACAGTGTTTGACATCTTGTTGACTCTCTGTGACACCGGCAGCTGGACAGAAGCCTTCCAGACCTGGTTCCCTCTGGGGAAGGGTTATGTTGTTGCACCGGAATCCCCGCCACTCAGCGCAACACAGACTCAGAATGAGGATTAATGATGGTTTTTACTCATGCTTTGTACAAGAACTACATTAAGAAAACAAGACTATTCCCTGAGGGGAGCAGGCACACTGTGATAAGTGCCTGTTCAAAGACAAACAGCAAACAGTTGTGGTCAACGCTGCTCTTCTTTACACTGATACCAAAACGCTGGAGATGCTTTAGTTCTCATCTGACTTCAATAAATGAATCTGAGGCATAAATTCAATAAGGAAGATCTACTCACTCACACTTTGTCTCCATTCCTGTCAGTTAATAAGGGCTAGACTTTCTCAGGAGTCATTTTTGTTGAGTTTAGTGTAACTGAATCCTATTTTTTTAACATATCAGACAAGCCCCCCCAAAAAATTGTGCTGTTGTTGACAGAATGTGATTTGTTTTTGCCTTTGACATGACATGCTCTTGAAACACTGTGTGTCTAATCAGATTTTGTCTATGAAAGAATAATGGAAACAGATCTTAGTTCTGGCTTTAATGATGAATTCTATCAGTTTTAAGCAATTTTGGCACATAAATAGAAAGTATTCAAAACAAAATAGGGAAATTATTCATGCTGCAACATGAATGCATCAATTCTCCAACTTCAATTGAATTTCGACCAGTTTGAAAACATTTTTTGGATTGTCTGAACGCCCTTTCAGCTCATTTAGTTGTTTAAAAGAAGCAGGCTGTGTTGCTCTTTGAATACCCTCCCTGAGGTTTAGGGTGTTGTGAGCAATATTCTTGCTGACATATTATCTGTCCAAATATTTTTCAAGTGATAAAACCCCGAAGAAACAATGACTTTATTCGGTCCTGTCATGATTTCCTAAGAACACTGGAATCCTTTCTGCCAAACTTTCCACAGTGGATATTTACAATGTTCTAATTTACAGTTCTTTAAAGGGTAGATTTTAATATGTACAGTCATGATGAGTCATTAATGACGATGATTATCAAAAGTTAAGACACACACAGGTTGTTTTGTCTTTTTGTCAGTGTGTATATTTTTCTTACAGACTGCCAAATGCTGTCATTAGTTTTTTCTGCAAAACAAATCCACCCACAGATATTAATACAGTATCCTTGACCTTGTTACGGACAGATGATGATAAATCTAGCTGTTTGGGTCTTTTTCAGAAACAAAAACCCCACAACATCTCGGGGTAATTTTACACATCAAAACTACCTTTAACACAGAATTGCTTTGAAATGCAGTCCACCAAGCTCCTAGCCTTATAAGTTCAGTACTGTGCAAACATTTTAGGTGTTTCTTATCCGTCACACAGAACCATCAGAGAGGCATCATGTCCTAAATTCACTCTGCAGCAGTCGTCCCGAACGTTAATCTTCACACCCAAATATTGATTTGATTCTGGTGTTTCAATTTAAGTCCTTGTGTTTGAAAGCGTCCTCACTTTACCTTTAGTCCCTAAAGCGTGTGCACAGCTCCGTGCATTTAACTGAAGTCCTGCACTGTAAAGCACATTTTGGTTTTGTAAAGGGATCGTGCTCCACCCATCAAATCTGGAGGAAAAAATTAGACAGTATTCTTTATGCTTTAAAATAATAAAAGACTTTGCCACCAATTTTGATGTGTTTGGTGCTTAATGTGTTCAGAGAGAGCATGAATGCTTTAAAAATATACAGCACAAGCTAATATTGCTGTTTTGACATTAAAAGAATAAAAAGTTCAGCCTTAGATGTGCTTTAATTGCTGTATGTTTAATCCCCGATAAATCAGATTGGTTGAACATGTCAATAAAAATGATGACAGCAAAATCTTTCTAGTCGCTAATAGGTTTTCCTCAACAGGAATTTTAGGGAGGCAGCTTTCAATTTTTTAATTTCACATTGTTCTGTTTTTAATCACATTTAGAGAGTTGGATCGTTTCCCAGTTCCAGTCATTACAAGATAAATATGAGGTACTTCTGCAGAACCATGTGGTTGCACCCACTTCCCTTTAGCTCTTAAGCCTTTATGGGGCAGGTGGCCATATTTGGTAACTTCCTTGGACATTCAGTATGTCCATCCTGTGCCTTTTCTTGAGGCTGAAGAACTATGTGCACTTTGATTTAGTTTTTATATTAGTGCCAATATCACTACCTAAGAAAAATGCCACTAAACAAATGTTCCGGGCACTTCATAAATGCTTTGTTACTGGTTTGCATTGAACTCCACTTGGATTTATTTTGTGAGATTAGTACCAATGCCAAGAAAAACATTACTAAATGAACTTGCTAAGCACTTTATAAATACTTTGTTACTGGTTGTGTAAG